TTTTTTTTCAAAAGTTTATTTGAAAATCCATAAAAATATATTTTACATCTAAATTACGTTAGAGTGTAACTTGGAGCGTTTTGAATCTGTTTTATTGATAAGACCCGTAGAAAGTAGCTGATAAAGTTACAAGTGTGCATTTATGGTTCGTTTTTTTATATAAAAATACCAACTACCAAAATTTAAAATGTATTATGCAATTGAAATATAATTCTCATTTTACACAAATATGTTCGATTTGATCAATGAAATAAGAATTAATGGAATAACATTGTGTTATTGAAATATTTCGGCATAAAAAACAGTTTGAATCTCGATGGAATGTTTATATTTTCAAAAGGGCACTAATCTTAGGAAAAAACCTTAAATTGATCTTAAACAAAAGTGTAATATGGTGAACTTCGCTCGAATAATAAATAAAAATTAGTTCATAGTAATTTCGTCTTCCATTTAAAGTGACTTTACTAAAATATGAATTACCAATCAGAAAAAAAAAATGAATTATGAATAAACTATTGCTATTAGTACTTGTGGTGTTGAATATTTCCATAATATTTCTATTTAAGCATTTCATTATATTTTGAGAAGCATGTTTATCGCATTTTATAACATATATATGTACTCTAACTCCATTATAAATTCCTTAAAAATAACCAATGAAATTCAATCAACAAAGAATTCATGAAAATGACCAAAATAAACTTCAAGTTTGTCTAAATATTAAAGTTTTCCTTTCCATCCCTTATATCCTTTTCCTATTCACCGGTATACTATCTAAGTTGGTTGTGGTACCGTGACCTTTTGTATATAATTAAACAATTATCATAATAATTGGTATATAATGTTTCTATAAAGGATATCATAGCCGAGTGACCTCTTCCTCTTCTATATGCATCACTATTGTTATTTATACCCTATGTTTTGCTTGTTATTTTAATTATTATTTTTAATAACTATAATAAAAAACTACTGCATAGTTATAATTTTAATTTTTATCATTAACAATCAATTGTTCAAATTGCTATAGTCTCATAAGTTAGTAGTAATAAACTATAAATCTAAATCAACAAATGCTTAATGAAAGGAACCACGTAAGTAATACCGGCTTTATTGTTGGGAGAACGATGTATTTCAGGACAAAATTGACGTATGCGTTATATGACCTAAAAGTAACACAACGCTATAAATTATAATTAAATCCCGACTAGACCAGAATCAAGTGTATACTTCAATTTTTATTTCATTATACGAGTATATGGTGTCACATCACACTATTTCTGAAAACATGATCTAAAACCATGAACTGATTTCAATACGTAAAATTTACATTTTTAATGTAGTATCGCCTAAATCTGCAGTGTTTTCGTTGATTCTTATTTCACTTTTGATTACATGCAGTTTGATGTCTTTTTAATAATGATGTATAAAGTAATAATTATAATTTTCACTGTTGTCTAATTATACAAATCAATATACCGCAAGGGAAGAGATCATATTTCTAGAAAAGGTATAAAATAATATGCAATTGATTTTATAGTCCAAATAATAATAAAACTGTTTTGCGGTGTTGGTGATTGAGAACTGTTTTTTATGAAAGGAGGAGACACCGAGTGACATTTAATTGACTGTACTCTATACCATAGGTTTTTCCGTCACATCGGATTAAATTTGTCGTATATTATATTTTCATGTGTCGACCGTAAAATTTTCATATACGATCGGAGCTTACACTATAAAGATTTTACGTTTGCTTTCTGGCGTACGAGTCTCCGCCTCTCTCTCTCTCTTTCTCTCTCTCTTTCTCTCTCTCTCGGGGAAACGTCTTGACGTGGTCAACCTCATACATATTCATTAAAATTTGCCAATCGAAGTTCTCGTAAACGCGTTTTGCCTCGTCTAGTTTTGTTCACGGATTTTATTTTCTCGTGAAACTTCATCGCCGCGGGCCAATGGGACGGCTCACGCTATTCTCGTGTCTATTGAATAAACTTGCAAAACTCCGTTACAGGCGGGCTGAGGCTACTACACTATTATTATTTTATAAATATATACGTATAAATCATACACATAGTGGCATGTTGATACAAATGTTTGCGAAACAAGTTATGTGTTCGACGTGAGTGGGAAAAGGGTATAGTGGTGGTGTAGTAGATACTGCTTACCGGAGAAGACTGTCCGCCTGTTGCTATGAGTACCACCGTAGTTACTTGATTTCGGAATTCAGTTTAACACACGCACACACACACACACATAGGTATGTATGTGCCTTGTCCTTCGCGCAAACACTATTTGTCTATGCGAGCGAAATTGAATTAATTTTAACCGCTAATAATTTATTTATGACAGCAGAAATTAATAATTTATGTGCTGCATTACTGGAATCCAAAGTAGGTGGTTGTTTTGGGGGTAATGACTGTAAAGTCAAACTCAAAGATGTTATGTTATGTTGTTTATTGTTTTACGCACGTATTGCATAAAACGTTCCAATTAAACTATATAGAGTTTTTAGATCAAATATCTCATTAAAAAAAAAAAAAAAAATAAAACCATCTTGTAAAATATCGTATTTTCTTCTGCGGGATCACTCGTGTGTACAAGGCTTATTTACTTATTTATTTTAACATGAAAAATGCTCCATTTACAAAATTGTGTATGAATTGTTACTGTCATATGTGTATGATATATAGTATTTAGTTTTATGAATACAACTGCTGTATATGTTAAATAATAAATGTGTGTCTTGTATTGTTATGTGTGTACGAGTACAGTAAAAATATGTACTCGATCATCAATTCATTTAAAGTGTATATTTATTTATTCACTAATAATGTTTCATTTGATATTGTCTAAGATATGAGACAATACATTTGAAAACATTCCTTAATGGAAACCAAGAATTTTTCATACCTTACATATATTATTTTGCGGGAAAACAAAAATGCTCTCCATTTATTATTAATTTTAATCCCATGTAGTTAGTACGGAATTACAATGATTTATAATAACAAATGTCAAGTACCGAATAATTAATTTTTAGAGATTTTAATTTTAAAAAATTATAAATTATAACTTATAACTAACTTAAAAAATTAAAAAATATATCTTGATATTAAAAATGTAGTAACAATGACTGAAGACAAAGAAACATTTTAATTTATAACACGTCATTTTTAACACCACAGATACAGTAGAATTTCATTTTGAAGTCTTTTAAAGGTGTATTATATATTTAAATTGAAAATGTAATGATTATTGATTAATATTATCATTTACGATTTTAAATGTTCAATAAAATTAGCTCTTCGATCAGTGTTTGAAATTTTGCAACATTTTGATATTATTATTAATAATTATTTTATTTTGACATATATTTGACAACCATAATGGTTGTTTTTACATCAACAAAACTGCAATTTCTGTTATGCGTGCTAGGGATTTTATACTAATTTAGGTAAAAGACGATCATCATATTTACGCTACAAAGATCAATTTTACCTTTTTCTATTATTTTTTCTATATTTTTGGGCATTTTGATCATGATTTTTTTTTTTCATGTACTTAATTTAATTCCTACCTGATGCTATATGTCCTATCTGTGCATTAATTAAGTTTTTGATTGCAGATTTTCTTTGCGCCATTTTATTGAAATTGTTATTAGGAGTATTAAATCTCTTAACATACTTATCCTTATTTAAACAAAATACATGATACTCCCTATACCATTATTCAATTGTATACTGTATTTATTTATTTTTTGAGTTTCATAAATATATGCACGAGCTAAAGTTCTTCAAAGAATTTGTATATATATTTCGTAATTTAATTTTTCTCAGTATATAAAAATAAAAATAAAACAAATTAAATTAAAATTATGTATCCTTTTGAACTCCGAACACGCGTGAAGTGTAATAAAATTCCACTGTAAGGTTTTTGCTGTTTTAGCACATCCACTTATAATCGTCTAACCAACCGCAGCCTGCTTGAAATGGGAAAATTACCAAAAAAATGAAAAAATAATAATAATATTAGAGGTGGAGACGGTTAGGAGATAGAAAGGAAACGTTCGGTGAATACAAATCCATCGCTTTCCTGGATGATATTTTTTCCCTTCGAATCCACTACTTTGAAATCCTATCAATATACACAATGAGGAAATATACATCCGAGGGGTTGAACAACTACATTGCATTATTCCGTCGTTGGGTGAATATTAAATTCATCGGTGCCGTATGTAGAACCGTTGAAATCGGTACTATCAGTGTTTGTTCCTACAGAAAGTTTTCTGCGTTTACGTGTGACTGTTTAGGAAGATAAGAACCTCGTTCTTTGTCTCTCTGTTGTTTTGGAATAGCTTTTTGTTTCGAGGGGTACGATTAAAAGGTCAATGGGCTTAATGGTTCTTTTGAAACGTTTTCCTGAAATTGGACTTAAAGGGACCTAGTCGGAGCACACGCGAGTTTTGTCGAACATTATCCCTGTATATGTGTTACCCGAGGGAAGAATAACATGTACTTTAAAACATCCATATTTTCAACTTTTTAAAACAATAAATCAAAATAAATAATATCGTAATCTTTTTATATTTCTATATTCAACTTGGCTTGCACCATGAAATTAGTTGTTTGATTATTGTGAATCATTAACTATGTTAAAAGTATACATATAATTCAAAAAATATAATGTAAATAAACTATTAGTTTATCTAATTATGAATAAGTCAATTGATTTTAAGTATCGTCATAAAAATTATACATTTTTAGATATATTTCTCTAAAAAAAACTGTAGTATAACTTTTGAAAAATATATAGATTTAAAACATAATAAACTATTTTAAAACCAATTTAATTTTTAAACTCTATATTTTGATGATCTTAAATGAACCATATATTTATATTAAAAATTTAGTTTTGGACACATATTTTATTTTAAATATTAATGATTGTAAATAGTTTGTATTTTGTATCGTTTAATTCATAATATACAATTGTTATTTGTTTAGAAGAATGTCGTTCGGCTCTTGGAATGGAATTTAGCAAAATTCCCGACCACAAGATCACAGCTAGTTCTTCGTACGAAGTAAAATCAGTTGGACCGCAGAATGCTAGGTAAGTTGCACGAGTTCATAAACTTTTTATTATTAGAATTTAGGTAATCGAATAAAATTTTTAGGTATATTGGATAGTTTTGTTACACTCATTTTTTCTTAGGAACCTTTCTTAAGAACTAGCTGAATAAAAATTGGTTTTAACTAAAAGAAACTTTTTTAAAAATCAACTGCTGCTTACTCTTACCTATCCCCTCGCAACACATTATATTTAAGAAATATCGCCAAGCCAAATCGTACAACTACTGGTCGGAAAACTTTTAACTACTTTCATATTAAGTTAAAAGCCCTAATTTGGTCCATAGGATTCATTCTGTAAGTTTTTGTCATTCAAATTAACAACAATATGAGTAAATAGTTTATTTAAGCACTTATGAAAAAAATTAAAGAAACGTAAATGGTAATTATAATTATTAACAATTGTTTATTTGTATAAAAAAAAATCTCATAGATATTGAAATAAATTATTTGAAATTAAAATGAGCAAATTTAAATTTTAAATACTATCTCTTATGATTATATATAGAGACCAGAATTTTATGTAGTAAAAATGTGGCTAATATGATGCAAATATGCAAAGCAAAATGGTCAAAATATACATTAATATTCACAAATAATTAGCAATAAAAAATATACACCATACTTTACTTTAAATATTTAAATTTAAAAAAGTACCATTATATATTTGACGTAATACACTAATACGTAGCAAATTAATATCAGTATATCAAAATTATTTTTTTTTTAATTTGCAGTGTAGCCAATAAATTAATGCTATATTATTACAAAACTTTAAGAAATTTATGTTTAATGTATTTTTGTTTGTCAGATAATAGTTTATCGTCAATGTATCTGTATGAAATATAACTATACCATGTTGACAGTAATTTTTTTTAGCCAGTATTTAAAATTTCCAATTTTTCTAAAACATAAAATAATTATTTAAGACTGTAAAAATATATACATGATAAGCACTGACAAAAAATATGTCCCAATCATCAAATTATGCAGTTATATGCAAAATTAAATTTGGTCTATGGAATCAATTATGCTACAATTCAATACTAATTCGCCAACATTTTTAATCCTCGTATAAGTACATACACTCAGTATGAACATGCAAATGCATAAAATTCCGTTCCCTAATTATAAATATTTCATAAATTTAAACAAATATTATTTTCAATATATTATTCAAAATTATTTGTAAATCAATAAAATCGATATTTTCAACGAATAACACTTTTTTCAATGATATATGACATTTATAGCCGGAAAGAATAACTTATTTTCCAATCATTTTCCTCGTAAAAATATTTTCTATCCATTTGTTCGATGGGCTCTATTCTCAGGGAATATAAAATTGTTATTCTCGCTGGAAAATGACGTGCTGCGCAGTAAATCTTTATTGTCTATTACTGTTATTACCGTGCTCACGCAGTTGTTTGTGCTTTTTATTTTAAGCCATACAACGTTTTTGGAAATTAAACACACGTGTTCATCATGTACATTTTTATACATTTTTATGCGAATAAAGGTTAAGTATAGTGATCATTTTTTTCAAGATTATTGCTACAGTAGGTATGGTACATATATATATAGTAGTTCAGTAATCACTTCAAGTGAATAATCATATACATTTTTGCACTAGAAATCGGGTATTATACAACTAAAAATTAGTTAATACCACCTGTTTTTTATTTAATTCATCATTCTTAGCGTGATAAGCTGAAATGTTGAGAGGGAAATAGGCCTCTAACCTCTTTAAATTACGATCATGGTTATTTTTGTGGTATTGAAATTGTTCCATTCGAATAAATACATAATTATTATACTATATCTCTGGTCCCATTTTATTAATTCACAAAATGAATTTAAAATTTTGAAAATAAACGACAAATATTTGATATAAATGTAATATAAGTAATTATATATGACTACAGAAGTATAAGCATAATTTACGAATGCATTTAATAAATTTACTTAATGAGCGTATAAGTCACTATTCTATTTCATGACTGATGTATACTCCATGCAATCATTATTATTATTATTATTCAAAAACCATTATTCACGAAAATTTAAGATTATCAACGACCGTTTTGAAATGATTAACTCTTCTCGTTTTTGTTATATATATGTGTATATATGTATTGCATCATATACGTATAGTCGTTTCTTTCTCTTTGGATTACGAAATATAGCTGCTAATAAGATTACGGGTACTCGTAGTCGGATATCCGAAACTTCTTGTTTCCTTTTTTTTTCTCATCCCTCTCCCCATTCTCTTCTTGGCTCCGGGTAATAAATCCGCTTAAAGTCGGTCGGCTGGTCCGTAATGAAAAACAAAGCTGCTGAGGATGATAACGAAGGGATGGATTGTTAGGGGTAGAAAATGAAAGTCCGATGTGTACGAAAAACTGGATTTGGTTTTTATACAACTCCGTTGCGTATAGTGAGGAAAAGAGAAAAATAACAGTTTTTTTTCTTGTGCAATGAGATTTAGTGAAGATTATCGCCACTGTGTTTTTTTTTACGGACCGTAGGAAAACAAGTTTCTGACAACTACAGCTATAAATGAAATTGCTATATAGTACTCGAGAATCCCTAATGCTCGAAGTTAACGGCAATTAAATCGCCTATTTCACGTTATAACTAGGCAGCACTGTGGAATCACCTTCATAAATGTCTCCCTGACCGTTAGACGTCGGAAAATTCGACTTTATCGGCTGTTTTAATCAACGTTGACTAACCCCTACAACTGTTCAATGTCATCGCAAATTTTATAATGTTGTATACTATCATCATCATCGTACCTTTTACTATATTTTCATAGTCACATTATTATCTATAAGCTATCACTACAAAATTAATGATCTCATTTAGATCGTATTTATTTATCTTATTAGTAACTCGATTTTAATGGCTTTGTATATACCTGATAATAATTTTTTGATTCAAAATCGGCCCTATTTATACAAATATAATAATAATTAATTACTTTCTATAGATAAACTATATGTTTATTTTTTATATATTGTTCTTATTTGTTGTAGTCACAATTGTAATAATTTTTGTCTATAGTTAAATGTTAGCAATGTTAAATAGGTCTAAATGAAAATTTTTCGTAAAACAAAGGTATTTATATCTTGTTTAAAGTTTGAAAATCATAAAACCGATGATTTCTTCTTTATAATATAGTTATTTCTAGTAAGGTATTGAAATATCCATTTATACGTTAAACATTTTAATTATAAACATCACAAATGTATTTGAAAAGATAGATGGATAAAAACAATAGATTGTTTTTAAAAAAGTAATTGAACCTTTATATTTTTTAAAATTATCGTGAAAAGTGTATACGATTCACAACGCATTATGTATGATTAGTAACTTACATCAAATTTTTGTGCTCTTTATTACATTTAAGCAAAATTTTATTTAATAACAAATAAATTGTGTGTAGACAAAGTCCTGAGATTTCTGTATTTATTTTATTTTATATACAATAAATATTTTCAAAATAAATAATGGCTTTGGTTTACTGATTTTTTTTTTTTTTGTTAAAATAAAAATTAGTCCAGATATTATAAGTCAACGAAAAAAAAAATTAAGAACAGAATAACATCATTACTTTGATATAAATGTTCAAATAAATTTTCTCAATGCAATAGCTTATAGTTGCTTCCAACAAATAGTTTTAAAACTATGTTAATAAAGTTTTCTTGCATATTCAAAGTTGGGATTTTTTGTTATACCATGTGAGATGAAAGATAAATACATGCAGATCTACCCTCTGTGTGCATTTGATTGATTTTCTGAGTTGGGTTTACATAAGGTCCAGTATTTTTTATACGCTTTTTAATGTGAGGCCCTTTTAGGGGAACGATTCGATTAGCACAGCCTTTTTTGTCATGTCAAATGCTGAAAAGGCCTCCCGTCAAGGTAAGCATCTACTGTACACGACATTTACCACAAGTATATTACCAACAAATTGAATTTTGCTTTTAAGTGCTCAAAATAGTTGCACTGCCTATTTATAATTTAAGAAAAAATTATTTCCATTGTTGAATGTTTTATATACAAATATGTAAATATATTATATAAAAGGTTCTTTAGATCATTAAGTTTAAATGTGAAATTACGTTGGTTAGCGTAATTTTCATTTCGATTGTTATATTCTTCTCTCTTTTTCTCTCCCTCACTAATTCTCTTTTGTGTAAGATATCTTTATATCAATGAACAATTTCTAGCAAAACACTAATATATTTATGATAGTCCATCAAATCCGTTTAGGCAATAACAAATTTATAAACCTGAGAGGCAAATAATGTTATTACGGAAACCACTAGCTCTTGTATGTTATCTTATGGAACAATGTGTAATAACCAAAGTCTTTGAATGATGTAATTTCTAACATAAAATTTTCTAAATTCATTTTCTAAATGATTTTATGAGGGTTCTTAAAACTAATTATACCCATGTAAACATCTTTAAAAAATTGAACCAAGACACTACATGGAAACTGAACTAGATTATCATAATTTATGACTTTAAGTTGTATATGTGTTACGCGAATGTCCACAATCGATGAATGCTGACAGTCACCGGTTTATATCGTTATACACCAAAGTAATTGGTAAATGTTGACATATTGATTAAATTTATACTGTTTGTAAATATTTACTAGCAAATATCGATATTTATATGATGATATTGGTGGATTTCGGAATTCTGATATTATTTAATCTGATCTTATCTAATATTTTAGTACCTACCTATTTCTATTAACTAATATACAAGGTATTATACAAGTTGATAATTTCGATAAAATGTTTTATTATCTTATCCTGCGACTTATTATATCTGGATAACCGCTATACTGCCTTGTTAAGATTTAGTATGAAATTATTATTCAACGTAATAATAGTGTTATCGTAGTATAGTGATTTGCACATAACCAAAACATTTTTTCTAAATAGAAAACATACGTGAAGTATT